TCCCCGCCAAGTCCCGTCGTCTGACCTCTCCAAGTTTACACACACTGTTGTTGGCCAGCTGTTGCGGAAAGGCTTCGCTCACGCCCCGAACCGCCCCGAGTTTCGCGCACAGGCAGTGCCCGTCCAGATTAGATGGGCGTGCTTTCCTTCGGGAGATTCGCGGGACATGCCGTGGAATTGACGTTGGACACTGCAGATAGACTATCGGCCCTCTGACCATCGGCTTTCCTTGCGAGCTGCATTTAGAAGTTCGAGAGACTGCTCCGATGAGGGAGAAGTTGGAGTTTACGAACCCGATTCGTTAGCTTAATAACGGCAAGGATGGGTGCTTAACTAAACATTCTTTACTGCTCGGACAGGGTACTTTAATCGACGTGGATGCATTTCACAGTTATCGTTGGGGCCCCAATATCTTCCACTTGAGGAGCCAGATAGGATATAATTCTACGTTGCGGCATAATCATCGTCCCTTTATTTTTCTCACCAACGCACCTCGTTGATTTCTTATGCGACACTAATGCCGCAAATGGTTTCACCGCCAAAGTTAATCAATTAGTCAAAGTCTTTTTGACTTTGGATAATTGATAACTTTGGTGGATAATTGAAAACGCCCACCATAGTCGACACCACGACGTAACTGATTCCTGTGCTTTGAGATAGCCGTAAAATCGTCGCTACGCCTAGATTTTTGTGCCGAGGTCACGTGCTGATATGCCCCGATATTCGAGGATAGCATTGACTCACGCGGCAGTGACGCGACGCGTAGCGTGCTCTTGATTGAGAACGCTAATTAACGGGCATTATTGTCTGTTGCCCGGGATTATTGAACCTGGCACGGCTTGGGCGAAAACTATAGGGGGCGATCATGGGATTCCTCATCGCACCGGCGCGTGAAAACCGTTGGGAACTTTGCTCCGAGAAGAGCCGCTGCCAACGATGTACGGCGAAACGATTGGGGTGGGGAGGGTGGGTTGTGGAGTGGACAGCAGCCTATCGGCTTCATTGGCGCGCTTTGCCACCTATTGTCTTTGCCCACGGCCAATCGACGCGTCGCTGATAAGCGTTTTGAAAGATGCCTAAAGCTGCGGGCCCGACGGCCGCGGCCGCTCACTCCCGCTGGCTTTGTGGCTGTGACCGCGAGAGCTGTTCCATCTGGAATACGCCCGCCTCCATCACCGTGGATCTTGCAGCGGACTCCGTGACGGCGTCGCCGGGGCTCGGTTCCCTTTGGGTTTGGTATCGCTCAGCCTCGCTTGCATCTGTTGCTGGGCCCGTATTCGCAAGAACGTCCTGTGTACGCTAGCTTTGTCTTTAACAATGAATTTTTGGCGGTATCCGAACGTAAAGCTTTGTGAATACGGGCCCCCTTTCCTATGGTATGGTTATTAAGCTATCTACTGAATCACTCGTGAGTGTTAACTAAGTGTATATGCGTCTTCGTGGAGTGCCTAATTGTATGTGCCTTCGTTTAAGCGTTGATATAGCAGTGCATCTGCATTTGAAGTTTCTTAAAGTTCGCGAAGTTTAGTGGCGTGCAACAGTGATCCTCTCGGAGGCTTGTTCTTTGAATGCGAGGCCGGTCTCTTATGTCTTCTCCCCGGCCGCCGCTCATTATTCGTGAGCATCCATTTCGCCCTTATTGTGTTTCGCATGCCACACTCAGCCTTGAGGTTTGTGAATGCTTTCAGGCTCTTTCGCGCAAGATGGCGGAATGAGGTTCAGTTACTATTGCCTCTGCCTGTAGGCCTGCAATGTTTCTATCGCTGCGTTCTCAGAATAGGAGCTATACGGGGTGAAGCATAAATACTTGAAATCCGGGTTAGTCAGGAAGGACAATGTAGGAAGCGAGCTTGCATCGGGTGAAGCGTGCTGTACAGGGTACGCTGACTGCAACGCCTACTTCTCGGATTCGCGCAGTGATTCGTTTCGTATATATATATTTTCTGTCGCACCCTATAACGGAACACGCTCGTCTCGTGCTGTCGAGGCCGCGTTATCTGGCCCGCCGCGATTCTGCCATCTCGGTAGGTGTGCCCGCATGCCAGCCTTCTCGCGTTCCCCCCTTTTTTGTTTCTTTTTCTTTTTTTTTTGTAGGTGACACCAGGTATTGTCACACTGCCGATACGAGTGTGTCCTTGCGTATCACGCGCTGGAAGCACTTGCGAGGATAGATGTGCAGGAGGCACATCTCTTCTCGGGCACTTTGAGTGGCGTGCGACTATAGCTGGTCATGTTAGAGAAGGTTTTTGACGAGCCTAATCCGTCTGTGTGGCAGCGTATAAGAACGCGAAGAAAACGCGTCCGTGTGAGACGCACGTGTGCACGAGCGACCTATTAGTAGCTCCCCTTTTCACGCAAGCGCTCCGATCTTCACCCTGTCTGTTTAATGAAGGACATTTATATTCCGTGCAGCGTAACAGAGCCCATGATAGTGTGGTATCCTATCAATAGTAAGTCCAAGTCATGTTTATTCCATATTTCAGCTCCGTTACATGGTTAGAATGGTACGGGAGCAGGTCCCGAAGTTTCAGAGAAACTGACAGGGGACCTCCTGTGGCGACACAGGTGGGGAAATTATGAAAAAAAAAATTACAGCAAAAGATGCGAATTCGTGAGCAATAACTAACGAGGCTAATTAGTTATAACAATACAATCAATTCATAATTTGAGGGTAATACTGCTGGAAAAAATAGACAAGAAAATAATCAAAAGTAGGGGTTAAGACGGGGACAAAGCAAGAATAATGAACTATACATGACAAATGCAACCAGTTTTATTATCACTGGTGTAAGTAATCTGTGGTATAAGTGCTACATGTAAAAGGGAGCAGGGGGCTGTGCTTACACCTTCTGCGACTCTCCCACCGAGTCAATGTCGGGTTGAGGGTAATCAGAGGCGGATGGAAATGGAGCTGGTTCGATTGTTTCTTCTTCTAGCTGTTTTAGCTGGTGCAGTGGGACGTCACCAGCCAACTAATTTTTGAGCCCTCCGTGATATCATGGTCTTGGTGGACGTGCTATCGTATTCATGCACACTTTTATACAAACGTAGCCTAGATCTCTCTGCATACATGCTCTCTTAATTTTCGTTCTTTTTCCAGCTTGCTGCTCAGGGATTGAGCAAGCATAATGAAAGCTACGTCGATTTTAAACACGCGTTTCTTTTTTTTTTTTTTCACGGAGCAGCCTGTCTCCATACGCATAGACCAATTTTTTTTTTTTCGGGGTGAGGGGAAAATCTACTTACAACATTTATTTTTCGGTTTGTATTACGTGTGGCGAAAAAAAAAAAGCTAATTTGGAGTTAGGGAGGCTCGGGCCCGGTGTGCCACCCCCTGGCTATAGGCCACTGCCTGTCTCGGCCAGCTGTGGCTGTAGTCCACGCTGTTCGATGGACCCTCGGCGGAGGTCCACGATATGTCGGCCGCGATAAGCGACGCGTCCAGCTCGGCGTCATCCCGCCAAAGGGGGCCGTTCCCCGCGCGTTCCCACGAGCTGGCCACGCGGCCGCTGTCTTACCAAAGTCTGCCGCCCCCGCAGTCGCCGATCTCCCGATGCTTGTTTTCCGTCGGTCCCGGAGGCGAGTCCCGGCGTCCGTGAAGCGCATGTTGTCGTGTTTGTGTGCGGGCATGTGCCTTGGACTGCCCCTGGTCGAAAGGAAGCAGTGCTGATAATGCGAACCAGGGATGGGAGGAGGAGCACCGCCGCCATTGTCCCATTGCCGGGCGTTGCTAGGCGGGCGGGCACAGTACGAGCTCACGCACGCACGCTTGTTCGTTTGGGCATGCAGCGGTGCCTTTAATGAATGAACGAGTGAACCGAGCGTCTGTGGAGGTGGTGGGAAGGGTTAATAGATGAACCAAGCTCGTGGTGGTTGGTATTTAGGCGTTTTTTCTTCCTTGTATTTGGTGTTCGTTTTGTACGTTTAAACTGTTCCTAAACTTGCAACCCAGCCTAATTTCTTTCGCCACGTCATTTTGCGTGCCCTTTGCTGTCGGTGATAGATGTTGCTTTCGCCGCGTCAAAGTCTTGGCTACATTAACACCTTGACTTTCGGTCGCATCATGCTCTGTCGTTGCCTTTCGATGTTCTGTAGAGTTTTTAAGCAGCACTTCGAGCCACGTAACTGAAAGCATGGCAGAGCTTAATGGCACGCCTAGAACATTCTCTGTTTGTTTTTTTGTTTATTTCTTTAATTTTTGTTATTGAAGTTGTTCGCATGGAGGACGAAAGTCGGCTCGACATACTTCTTACGCGTGTGGCTTTGCTTGCTATTATTTCGCGCATTCGTGAAGCCTTTTCGGAGTATACACTGTCGAGGTGGATACCATACCGAACGAAGGAATGCAGTCAACCAGAGGCTCTGCATTTCTACGTAGTACGTAATGCTCGAAACATTTCCCTCCCCTCTCCGCGCCGCTTTCGTAATCTGTGTGTAAACATTGTGTGCACCACTAAGCTTCCTATTCTGTTGTTACATTTGTTCAATTCCCACCAGTGCTACCACAGTGTAATGCGAGGGCCCCAGCGCCAAAGTGAAGAACAATCCGCGCTGTGCTCTTCATCTGGTATGATCAACAACTTTTAGTGACACTCAATAATATACCTGGCATCCTCCATCATTTAGACACGCGCATACTCAAAAAAAAGTTCATACCGTATGCCTTTTTTCTCCCGTTTTCTCTCTCTCTCGTTCTTTCTTGCTTTGTGATAAGCGCTTGAAAACTACAGCATGTACTTCTTCAAACACGGGCTTGATTTCGTCCGCCTACCGTTTTTGTTACAAGACGGACCTGACTTCTAAGAGAGAGTGAGGTAGAGATTTTTCTCTACCTCGTTAAGGCGTAAAAAAAGCGTAAAAAAGCGTAAAATAAGTCCGCAGCACTAGCGACCCGCGTGCCCGATATGGCGAGGGAGAGAGTACCAGTTGTACTTTTTTTTTTTCCCTGTTGTCAGTGATTTTGCTTACCAACGTTTCCGATCGTTATAAACTTCGCGCAGGTGACAAGTTCCGGCTGGTGATCGCGACCACTTTGCGCGAGGACGGCTACCCGGACGACGGCGAGTACAACCCGGCCGACACGGGCCCTTCCCGCGCGGACAGCTTCGAGTGCGTCATGTACGGCAAGATCTACCGCATCGAAGGGGACGACATCACGGGCGAGACCACGAGGCTGTGAGTACGTTTCAGGTGGAAGGTGTTGCCCGATACGGAGAGAGCCTCGGTATAACGTTGAACTGTGAGGTGATAGCGGCGCGAACTTAGAGGGGGCACCGAAGAGACAAAAACGACATTTCTCGTATTAGTAAGTCAGTATGTCACAATGCCAAAAAAAAAAAAAATTACGCTTGCTGACCACGCTAGTCTTGTGCTTATAGTAGTCGACTGCTGATCAGAAGGTCGTGGGATCGAATCCCCGTGGTGGCGGCAGTATTGCGATGGAGGCGAAACGCCGGTGTACTTCGATTGAGGCGCGCGTTGAAGGCGCTAAAAACTCCCGGCGTGCTGCTCCACTACGTCGTCTCTCGTAATCGTATACCTTGATTTTGGCTGCTGAAACGCCCAGCAATTGAGATTACCGCGCCCGCGGCTTGAAGTCTTCTTAGTAAGCGAGAAAGCGACCCGAAAGAAAATGTGGCTGTCGACGCCACCTTGAAGTTACCGCACCACTCGACGGGACGTCATAGACTTTGACGACGTTGAAGTACACTTGTCTTCTGAGGGTGCCGTAGAGTTGACATGCGAAGGTCGAGAAAATTTTGTCGAGCTACAAAATGCGAAAAGTACACATTGAAATCCGTGAAGTCGGGAACCGAAATCTAAGGGGAAAAAAAATGAAACTCTTGATTTCGATTTTTCTCCTCTCTGTGTGATTGTAAAAATGACGGCACAAAAAGTTTTTGAAGTACGATTTATTCGTACTAGCCGATTCATCGACCGACTTTTATATGCCGAACAAAATTTGTCGCTTCTCTCTCGGTATATTTTGTTTTAAGTTCGCGCTACTATCACCTCACTGTGTGAAACTCTTCGGGAAGAAAATCACAGCTGTACTTGCCGCAAGGCACGCTCGTCTGAATTATGGCGGCCACGCTTTGTTAATGCGACGATTACTGGTAATCTGCAGTGCGTCATTGCCAATTTGGTGCACGCGTTTGCGCCATATATATGCCAAAACTAGAGCGCCAACATTAATTTTGCCTATTTACTGATTGTCAGTCTTCCGGATAAGAACTGAGGACGGTGTTTCTGGGAAACGAAGAATGCTTTGCTAATCTGGGGAGACGAAGTAATAATAATAATAATAATAATAATAATAATAATAATAATAATAATAATAAATGTGGTGGCCATTCATTAAAGTTATCCCACCAGTTTCACCTGACGCCTTGTGATGGCGCTTGCTCACGTGTACTTAATTTACACGCCAAGCACACTGCGTTTTTGAGAAATCTGTGGAGGCTCTGCCTGTAGTAGAAGTCAACCGTTTTCCCTCTCAGTAAAGCTACCTATTGAAAGGATAACATGTGCATTGCTGCCATACACTTTCAGTTCCCTCTAAATTATAAGAAGGTCACCCCCCCCCCCCCCCGCCTTTCTCTCTCTTTCTGTGGAATACCGCCATCGAAGAATACGAATACCTAGTGTCTCTTATTTTGCAAAACGCAAAAGTAGCCCACTCGCTGCGCAGTATCAGCTTTAAATGGTATTTGTCGCCGTAGCATTTCGTGGCCATTTGTGTGCTGCGGCAAAGCCGTCGTGGCTGTTTTAGAAGTGCTCTCTTGCTCAGGGACGTCAAACTAAGTCGACGTGAGGCTGCCACTCTCATCGACCAGCCACTTCAGAAAAATCTAAGTGTTCTGCTGACTTCTTATACGTTTCTGATTCTCGTTTGTATGGATAGCGCAGTAGTTCATTATATATTCTTTAAACAACTGGCCACCGTGACCGTGGTGTTGTTACTGCAAGTCAGTCTAAATTCGTCGCCTGAATTGCCATTTAGCTCATTTTTCGGTACGAATCCACCCAAAGGTGAGAATGTTGGTAGAAAAAGAAGCCAGTTGAACGTTGAATATACCGCTCAATATTTCCGCGCTTTTGTGAGACTTATTTGAGGCGTACTTGAAATAGTAATATTTCAAGAAATAGTATGTGAGCTAAAGTGTCTCTCATTATTCCGCAAAACGCAAAAAGTTTATAGATTCCTATTAGCTGGTATAAATTCACATTAGCAGGTGCGAATTCATATTGGAAGGGTTGAAAGTGAAATATAGGCAGGTGGTGTGGAAAGGAAAACTGGGAGCTACGGCAAGTTCAGGGCCTTCTCGTTACTGCTTGGCCCTGTGGGTGAGAGGAAGATAGCTTGTGTTAGGAAAATAATACAGAAGGTGGCACGGCGACGCCTTTGCGAGGGACTTTCTACATTCACCATTAAACGTTGCTCTCGAACAAAACAAAGGCGAACACACGACCTGATAGCAAACCTAGCGCACAAGAGGAGCATCGATGGGGTCGCTTCGGTTGTACGGGACGTCTAGTTGGCCCTGCCCGGCAGTGTACCACCCTGGGTTCCCACTTGCGTATGACTTGTGTGAACACAGCTGGTGGTATATCAGTCGGTCTGGGTCAAGTCGCACGTCTCTCCACAAGCTATGCCCCCAACGAACGTGAGTGTGTTTTCTTTTCTTTTCGTTGCTGGTCTTTCCTTTCAGAGAACGACACGTGAAGTTATCGATCAACCACCAGGACTAGGTGTAAGTGGTCTCTTTAATGGACAGCCATTGCTATACTACTACTAAAAGACGAAGTACACGTTTGCGCTTGTGGATGTCTTGTTAAGAGTAAAGCGTTCTGTTTCTTTCCTTTTTTTTACGCTTATCCCTGTCTGGACACGGGTCGTCCTTGTATACGTGTCGTACTTTTTTTCTTTTTAGTCTCTCCTGAGCTGACGTCTCGTCTCACACCCGCTTGCCACTGCGCTGTCGTTTTGTCTATCACGTTTGTTGAAAGTGTACTGTTCGTGACTGCGTTTCTGTTTTTTGCCTGCATTAGCCGGCACACTTTTTACACGCAAACTGCTATGCGCTACCTGCGACGCCCTCTTGAAGTTGGGCTTCCTCTACTCCTTCGGGTCTTAGCGGGAAGGATACACTCTGGCTGTCACTGTCACTTGCTGTGATGTCGAGTTTGACTTGGCAGGGAGGTCGTTTGCGCCCTCGCTCGTCGTTTGTCGTTACCTGACCTCGTCATGGGGTAAGAGAAGCGGAAGCGGGGGGGGGGGGGGGGGGCGGAGGAAGAGAAGATGGTGCACGATTTGGGTGCGAATGGATCGTGTCCGAACTCACGCCTCCCTTGTATAACTCTCCAGAAAGGTTGTTACGCTCGTGTATGCCTGCAAGTGCCGAGGAGATTGAATTTCGGGAGCCGGCAACACGTCATGGTCGCGGGGTTTTCGCTCCACATATTTGCTATCGCCGCCGTTTGGAGGCGCGAAGCTCGAGGTCGCGACGCGGGAATTCCTAGTGGTGATCGCGTGATGCCTTGGACGTGTGATATTGACTTGTAAAACGCTTTCCGGTGCTTTTTTCTCTCCTTCGCTCGCGTTTTCTTTTTTTTTTTTTTTTTGGAGGGTGGACCAGGACTTGGGACGTAGACTGCGTGTGAGCCGAGGCCGGCCACTCGCGCACGTTGTGGCGGGGGGAGGAGGGGGAGGGGGCATCGATTCACCGCTGGACGTATATGTAGCGGTTTCGTGGCATCACTGGTCCCCTTGGCGACCAGCTCGCCTTTTTTAACCCTGCGCGCTCGTTCGCGCGGATCTACGGGGCGACGCGTGCCGCTTTGGCGTCGTGCTGCGCGCCTGGGCGCTGCCCTCGTTAACGCCCATTACTCTAATGCAGCCTGCAACTGCAGTGATTATTTACCCCGTACCGCGCGCGGTCAATACGGCTGGAGTGAGGCGCCGAGCCCTCAACCCTTGGGCTCCGATGTAGGCGTTTGCGGAGGTCGCGTTTGCCGACACTTAGCGAAGCGCCATCTGCTTGGGGTGAATTGAAACAAGGGTTTTGGTGCGCGCCGGTTACTCGTTCTTTTCTTTTTTCTTTTTCGGGACAGGTGTGTCCGCGTAGACATGGCGATGAGCTTGAATACTCCCAAGAGTGGGCATAAGATTTCGAAAGTGAATTCGAGCTGAGGTATCGTAAACTGCTGGTATTTTCCGAGAGTCCTTCGCCTACACGAAAGTATCGCTCTTGCAGTTGTTTCTATATCAGCACGCCGTTTCTTTTCGTAGTAAAGTTTATACGCGGGTTGAGTGACGCCGAGCGTCGGGGAAATATGAGCAGCATCGTGGAGTGCTGTGTATAATCGCGCGTGCACCATATCGATGTGGCAACTTTGTAAGCCCTCTGGCGTAACCTTAGCTGCCCACTAACGGAACCCCAAGTGGTCGAAATTTCCGGAGCCCTCCACTATGGCGTCTCTCATGATCATATGATGGTTTTGGGGCGTCAAAGCCCACATATCAATAAAGCTGCCCACTAACGCAGTGACAGCTGTAATCTCGCCAAGAACTGTTTGTCATTCTCTTTCATCCTGTCTGGCTCGGTAAAGTATCTCCGCGACTCCATCTCGGCAAACAGCCCATTCTCAGTGCTAGAAGCGAAATCTTTGGAACGGGGTGGCCTGCGTTTGTGGTCGTAGGTGTTTTGTCAGTGTTTTTTTAGTGGAACGTTTTACTGGAGAGTGCTTGCAGTGTCCGTTATTCTGGTGCAGGGCCGGCGATGATCTATACAGAAACAAAAAAGGGGGGGGGGGGGGGGGGGGGAGAGTTTGCGTACGAAAAGAATGAGAGAAAGAGTCGTCTTATCGAAGAGGGAGGTGGGTAACAGGGGCAGGCTAGAAGCGAGCGAGCTGTGCACCGCCGTTCGTCTCGTTGTCAGTCGAGTTTGTTTATGTCTGTGCGCTGCGCCTTCGTTGTTCGTCGTCGTCGGTCGCCGCCCGTGTCCTCTTGTGCTCCGCGCTTTTTCACGTGATCCGGGCGCATCCGGAGAGACCGGGCGTTTGGCGTGACCGCACGACGCGGTCCTGCGCTTGTCGCCTCTTTCCGTTTCCCTCCCTCTCCGCGCGGGAAATGCCGCGCGTGGCTTTTGCGCAGCTGTAAAACGCGCTGGTGG